AACCGACTTCCCTCGATTTGCGCTGATTGAAAGTAAACCGTTACGTGACTTATCGTTTGCCGAGCTGAAGGACCAATGGGACACTCGATTAGAGATATATCAAGCTGCCTCTAAGAAATGGGTGCGTCAATTTTTGCAATCAGACAATCATCAATCTCATGCTGATTGTACATATGCATTTGACTCTTAGATCTTGAGTGATGCGACTTTAAGCTACACATACAGCCTTTCGACTGCTGTTATATTCATTAAAGCAGCTGGATTATGTCAAAGCGATTGTATTGGACTTGCCGAAGAAATCGAAAAGGTAACTATCAACCCTTCGAACTCATTGAATCCGACCTCAAGCACTCAAGATTCCTCATTAGATCTCAACTCTTATCTTTCAATGGATGGACCAATGGGCATATGGGGTCATGGAAAGAAAACAAATATCATCTCAAGTGATAATTCAGACAGTTCGGATATTGAAGTGATGTTACCTGAAGGCCACAGTAAAAGAAAGCTAACCGATCGAAATGAAAAGGTCCCATTTCAAAAGAAGGCTTGTCTGAGCACTCAATCTTGGCCTGGCAAGACTTGCAAGTTATCGGAGCTCATAATTTGGTGTGATAAAGCACCCAAAGGCTCTGTTACTACAGGTGTTACAAAGAAGACTTGGTACAAAATATTTGGCGACCGATACCATCCTGATGCAGGTTTCAAAACACCTTATAAATATTGTACCTGGGTTTTGAAGAAGAGATCTGAGCTTATTGACTGGATGGCGAGTAGGCCGGAGGCCACAGTCAAGGAAGCTACAGTTGTTTTTCGAGAATCCTTTCGTCAGATCACCTCTGGTCGGGGAGGTCCTTGTGTAGCAGTGGTGATAGATTAATAAGATGTTTGACTTAGAATTGTTTATACCCCAGATCGACCGTATCTGTTTGATACTCATTTGAAATCAAAATTACTTTTCATTGCTATTAATAAAGTCGAGCCTGAGTTTGACCTACATATTACTCAACTCACCCAAAGTTGAACAAATTGACTCACAGTTTTTTTGAATCGATCATTATTATCATATGTATTGAACCATGATCTCATGATTGATTGTTATACCCATCAATTGATTGAGCCTATCATGGATTGATCTGACAATTGTTTGAGTGAATTATTCATCAAATAATCTTATCATTTTTTCAGTTTGCCTTTAGGCATTATAAATCTTATCACAGTAATAAGGATTAAAGAAATGTTTTAAGGTGCTTGATTGATTGCATGTTGATCCATACAATAACTAAAATCAACTAAAAGATCCAACCTTTTGTTATGAAATCCACATCAGTTCTCATCTTCAGCTTTTTCTCTAACCATCCATTTCGTAATCTGACCATCTCTTCTAGAAAGAAGTTGTAGCGGATAGCATGCATACCTCTGCAAATGGATGCAAATCCACCGTACCAGATGTTTTTCAGTTCGGCAGCTGAAGAGTTGAATAACCACTTGCCACCCTTTTTCAGGTCAGGTATCTTGTTTGGATCAGTAAATTCTTGGCAGAATCGATTGGATTCTTTATGTGAACACATGTGAAAGACATCAACTGGAATGACAACATCCTTGAAAGCTTTAGCATCCTCAGGATTGCTCCAGATGTGCTGAACCAAATT